CTACAACTTGTCATCACTTCAAATAAACGCTTATTTTCGTCTTTTAGGTGTTCCCTGAAGCGTCAATGAAGAGTGGTCCTATCTACAAAGTGGCACCAAAATACGAAGCGTAGGAATTTCTTAAAGGATCTATTACAAATTTAGTCAAAGACAATATTATGTCATTTAGTGGACGCTATCGGTTCTATCCAATCACAGGTCAATCTCTCAATCAAAGATTACAAACATGTCGCGACCTTCAGCAACAAAACATCAGTGAGTTCAACCTTCCTCCCTTTCTCCTATAATTCAGAAACCGGAACTTACTTCTTAATACACATTCGTGACTGGAAGACGTTAATAATTGATGAGAACTACCAGTTCAAGATATTAGCCACAATGAATATCTTTTAGTCAACGTTCAACCTATGCAATCTCAGCTCACGGAAGCTTACGGAATGTCGCAGTGTCCGGATAATCCAGCAGCTATTATTTCGGAATGCGGAGATTCCGTACCATGTCTCTACGATTATACAACTTTGAACGCTAAGGCAATCCTTCAACCACAATTTGATTATTTTTACGGATTATTGAGTAGATTTCAAAAATAAACTGTCATTATGATCCAATAACGCAATTAGCGTATACATCTCATTTTTTAAGAGTCTTTTTTAGGTCCTGGGTGTAAGAGTCAAGGAAGAATGGAACGTTTTTACGACAGAGCGAAGTGATGCTACTCGCTTTTGTAAGTCGTACTAATTCTACCAGTATACTAGCATAGTCTGTTCCAATTCCACTCATAACTTTGTACTATTTCTAATTTATTAATTTATACTCTCTTAAAAGCAGAATATGAAAAACTAAATCACTTCTGATAAAGAATATCACGTAGAACGCATGTAGGATGAGAAATTGGTATTTTTAGAAGACGTAGCTAAATAATGGACAATTGATAGGCCGACGTAGGTGTAGTCGTTCCGTAAGCCCCCGCGGGTGCTGTTTTTTTTTCCGCAGAAACACGCCGAATCATCGGAAAAGTATTTGTCGCATGCAGCTTATTATGCATTTCTGCATTTCTGTGTGCTCGTATATTTCTCAATCCATGATAGGAAGGGAAGAGAACCTGTTAGTTTTCAAGAAGGGGAACTCATTAAGACTATTTTTATAGCTGTTGCGGACAGTACAGTATCCGTGGTCAGTCAGAGGAACGGTTTGTACTAGTATTTCTCAAAGTTGATTATTGAAAGGGACGCTCTTAACAACTTGAAGTAGTGGGATCTCGGATAAAAATTTTCTAAAATTCAAGTAATTTGTAAAGTCAAAATTCATGACAGCATGTCAAACGATTTGATCGAAGAAAGCCTGTTTACGAAATGCGTGACTTCGCTTTTCCAGTCCTTATTATGTTTTCAAAAGCCAATGAAGCAGAGTTTAATAAGCACAAATATACGCCCTTCTAGCACTTCTTCTTTGCAATCCAAAAATTTAAGGCTAAATTTTGCCTTTTGGGATTGACATTTTGGTCACAAATCTAGGATTGCCTTAGGTAGAATGAAATGGCGAAATCGCAAATTCTGCAAGAAAGCACATCTGTTTGGATTATTTGATATCTAAATTAAACTAACCATATTTTCTGAATGACTGTAAGGGTGTAGGAGGTAACGAAATCGAAACACCGACATGCTCAAAACGGGAAAATTTGGTTGATATGACGCCTATTGTACAAAATGACAATATTATACAAAACGGATGTTATAATCATATTAATATTCCGGTTAATTGCACTTCAGGCAACGT